AATTTTTTTTTGGGGGGGGGGGCAACTCATGTTTTAAATGATTATGCAATGATTTTGCTTGTAATTGTAGCTAAGTTCTAGATTCGCTGTACATGTAAAAAACGTTTTTCTTGTAGTTAATTTTACATTGTTTATTGTAAGGTATTGCGTCTTGAACTAAAACATAAATATATTGATTAAGAGCTATATTAGAAATTGCCAGTTCAAAATAGCAGCGTATTGGCTCTTTTTAATGCCAATCGCTGATTGGCCAGATGTTGGGTATAAGGTCAATAAATAATCGAGATTCCTTCTTGACTTAAACAGTTAATAGTTGCCAGTATAATCAGTAATTAATAAGGAGATTAAAACACCCCGTGTTGAGAGTGAGCAAGATGAAATGGTTAGTCTCCCTTTTGTTGCTCATCACGGTGTTTCTGAGCGCATCAGCTTCAAATCCTGAGGGTAAGTTTGGCAAATACCTAAATTAACGAATAAATTTTGCGAAAAAATAACGGAACATGAGAAATCTGCGTGATTCGTGGCTTCAGTTGAATTAGGGTTCTTGCTTCTGAAAGCCAAACTAGTCGCGAATATGCTATATTCAGGAAATGCGTTTATAACATACACATGTTCTTGAATATTCAAAATATTATAAACTCTGACGATTGAATGAAAGATAAGTCAGAAAACGTTTATTGGAAGGTTATGACTTGGGATTGTTGAAATGTACCAAGTGACACAATTTGATCGGTTTATTAGCTGTTACCAAACTAGTTGTACAAACTGAAAGCTACATGATGTACAGACTAATTTTTTTGTAGTACGATTAATAATTTTGCTAATGGGAAAACAAATATTTATAATGACAAACATGCATGTGTATTCGTTCAATGCATCAAATTTCTTTGCAGTTATTGTTTTTTTCTCGTTGTTTACAAATTATAGATAGAAGTAGTTTTACTTTTGTAGGTGATGAAAACATTACTCAAAAATACATTGCACCTATTTGAAGTTCGTGCAAGAATAGAGTTTTGTTCACATTTTCTTTTAGAGGCAGGTTGCTAATATCGTCCCTATATTGGTTTTGTAAATTCTAACATTTTCNAATTAATAAGGAGATTAAAACACCCCGTGTTGAGAGTGAGCAAGATGAAGTGGTTAGTCTCCCTTTTGTTGCTCATCACGGTGTTTCTGAATGCATCAGCTTCAAATCCTGAGGGTAAGTTTTGGAAAATACCTAACCTAACGAATAAATCTTGCGAAAAAATAACGGAAAATGAGAAATCTGCGTGATTCGCGGCTTCAGTTGAGTTAGGGTTCTTGCTTCTGAAAGCCAACCTTGTCGCGAACATGCTATATTAGGGAAATGCGTTTATAACATACACATGTTCTTGAATATTCAAAATATTATGAACTCTGACGATTGAATGAAAGATAAGTCAGAAAAAGTTTATTAGAAGGTTATGACTTGGGATTGTTGAAATGTACCAAGTGACACAATTTGATCAGTTTATTAGTTGTTACCAAACTAGTTGTACAAACTGAAAGCTACATGATGTACAGACTAATTTTTTGTAGTAAGATTAATAATTTTGCTAATGGGAAAACAAATATTTATGATGACAAACATGCATGTGTATTGTATGTTCAATGCATCAAATTTCTTTGCGGTTATTGTTTTTTTTTTTCGTTGTTTACAAATTATAGGTAGAAGTAGTTTTATTTTTGTAGGTGATGAAAACATTACTCAAAAATACATTGCACCTATTTGACGTTCGTGCAAGAATAGAGTTTTTTTCACATTTTCTTTTAGAGGCAGGTTGCTAATATCGTCCCTATATTGGTTTTGTAAATTCTAACATTTTCGCAAATAATTTGCAAGTGGAGTTTTAGCTATCTGTTAAATCTTAAAGGTATATTGGCCATTGTAAAGAAAAGGAGTTTTGGAAAGCTCAGAATTAAAGAAATTATATTGCTAAGCAGAGATCTGAAGAGAAATTTTAAGTATGTAAGGTAGATTACAATTTAACTGAAACAATTATTTAACAAAAATCGAAGTTAAAGAAGAAATTTAAGCAGACAAGAATTACTCTTAAAATTACCAGTTTTGAAATTTACGAGATATCTAATCGAAATGACTAATAACTTGCCAAGTTGTAGTCGATGACATGGAAAATCAAATAAGGATGAATGTGTCGATAAAGAACTTTAACAGATTGAGAAATGACAACTTTTGCTGGAAAATTTAAAGAAACTACAATATTTACGTGAATGAAACAGCCCTGGTAAATTTAGTGATAGCAAAACAATTCTATATGGGTAACATAACTTATGCTATTTCAGTAAAGAAAAGTGTCAGAACAGACGATTTAATTCCTGATAAACTAATCGCTGTTGTCTCGTTCAAAAAAAATTTAAAAAAAAGANGCCAAGTTGTAGTCGATGACATGGAAAATCAAATAAGAATGAATGTGTCGATAAAGAACTTTAACAGATTGAGAAATGACAACTTTTGCTGGAATGAAACAGCCCTGGTAAATTTAGTGACAGCAAAACAATTCTATATGGGTAACATAACTTATGCTATTTTAGTAAAGAAAAGTGTCATAATTCATTTTTTTTCCAGAACAGACGATTTAATTCCTGATAAACTAATCGCTGTTGTCTCGTTCAAAAAAAATTTAAAAAAAAGGAAAAGCAGTCACATACTTGCGATTCTTTCTGTTTTTTGTATTTTGCTTTTAGTTTCTTTTTTTTTTGTTTTTGTTTATGTGCTTAAGTAAATGTGATAGGGCTACAGTAACCGTTAGGTGCTTGAAAATTTTACTTATGACGTTTGCAGTTTTAAGCAGGAACGTTTTTTTTTTTGTTATGTCGATGTGTCAGGGATGTCGATGGCTTCATCACAAGGAACTCGCATACAAACGTATCATGATCAAATATAGAGAAATTTAACGCATCACTGACAAAATGAACAATAATATAAGAACCATGCATGGGAATGTGACAGTAGATATGAATAGTCGCGTTCGTTTCTCTACATGTGGTCATAGTATTTGATATCACAAGCAAAATATGGGAAACTTGCACTCTGGGGACTTATATTATTACGCAGTTGCCCAACCGCCCAGTCGGCAGGGGACACGTGACGGCGCCAGTGTTTAATGAGACTTCAGTTAGCAGTTTTTCAGAAATGCCGGATCCATATTGCCTCGACCGCTCAGTCGAATACACGGACCGACAGAGCAGAGCACATCAACCTAACCAATACTAAGTGCAAGTTAGCAAATACAAAACATTCTGTATAATTGTTGAAATGAATTTCCACGCATGCCTGTATTTTAAAAAGGACATCGCTCATGCTAATGAAAGTAAAGGAGCTAGAAACGTTTCGTCATAAAGCATTTAGTTATTTTATGCACCGCTTAAAGGCCCCCGGGCTGGTATCCCGCGGAACTTACCTTCCTGCCTTTGTACTGAAATAATATTGTTTTATAAACACACCAAGATCAACTACCTCAAGAACGTGAGAAAATGTTTATATTTGGATGTTTTTTCTACTCGTAACCACGTACATGGCTCCGCCTCAGTGATCGTCGGAAATCATAAAAAAACAACCACACTCTTTGCCGAGTATATAACATTGTTCTACATCACGTAAGGCCTCAAGTAAGNGGAACGTTTTTTTTGTTATGTCGATGTGTCAGGGATGTCGATGGCTTCATCACAAGGAACTCGCATACAAACGTATCATGATCAAATATAGAGAAATTTAACGCATCACTGACAAAATGAGCAATAATATAAGAACCAGACTTGGGAAAGTGACAGTAGATATGAATAGTCGCGTTCGTTTCACTACATGTGGTCATGGTATTTGATATCACAAGCAAAAATATGGGAAACTTGCACTCTGGGGACTTATATTATTACGCAGTTGCCCAACCGCCCAGTCGGCAGGGCGCACGTGACGGCACCAGCGTTTAATGAGACTTCAGTGAGCAGTTTTTTTAGAAATGCCGGATCCATATTGCCTCGACCGCTCAGTCGAATACACGGACCGACAGAGCAGATCACATCAACCTAACCAATACTAAGTGCAAGTTAGCAAATACAAAACATTCTGTACAATTGTTGAAATGAATTTCTACGCATGCTTGTATTTTAAAAAAGGACATCGCTCATGCTAATGAAAGTAAAGGAGCTAGAAACGTTTCGTCATAAAGCATTTAGTTATTTTATGCACCGCTTAAAGGCCCCCGGGCTGGTATCCCGCGGAACTTACCTTCCTGCCTTTGTACTGAAATAATATTGTTTTATAAACACACCAAGATCAACTACCTCAAGAACGTGAGAAAATGTTTATATTTGGATGTTTTTTCTACTCGTAACCACGTACATGGCTCCGCCTCAGTGATCGTCGGAAATCATAAAAAAACAACCACACTCTTTGCCGAGTATATAACATTGTTCTACATCACGTAAGGCCTCAAGTAAGGCCCAGTTCATACGTCGCATTTCTGCCGTGTCGAATTTAATTCAATTAAGTGCGGCAGAAATGCGACTGTCGATTCATAAGTCGCACTTGTGTCGCACTTAATTCGGAATTTATACTGTCGGGTATGTCAGCCAGCGGAAAATGTTTTAAACGGAGGGTATTCAATATGGTGGACGAAAATACTGAGCGACGAAGAACTTTAATTTTGCAAAATATTGACCGCCAATGGAACGAGAAGGAGAAGGCTGACAACGGAGCAGTATGTGTTGCAATATGCTCAGGTTGCATTGGGTCGAGAATGGCCNAAATGCGGCAGCCGATTCAGACGTCGAATTTCTGTCGAATTTAATTCGTTGAATTGAATTCGACACGGCAGAAATGCGACGTATGAACCGGGCCTAAGACCGCGATTTGAAAATATTATCATTTTGATCAGTTGCTACATTTCCAACAGATCAATTTGTTGTGCTTAAAAACTCACGCAAATCAATGATATTATGCACTGAGAAACAACATTACTGAAAGGTGACCAACCTTAGGTTGATATTTCCGAGTAAAATTTCTTTTAAAAAAAGAAAACAAAAACCAAAAACAAAAAACAGAAACAGAAAACAAACAAAAGGAGCAAATTGCTTAACATCTGATGAAAATTTTTGTTCCGTGACTAGAAGTGGCGAGAAAGTAGTGTTGTTTTTGAAATCCAAAAGCAGTGAATTACGTAGACAATTGGTCCAATCATGAACCCGATGCGTCTTTCCATTGCAAGAGCATGGGTAGCACACCAAAATAAAATTACTAATGGTCTATAATTTACTACGGAGGCAGCGTGGCTGAGTGATTGGAGCGCCGGAATTGAAATCCGTAGGTCCCGGGTTCAAATCTCGTTCTGATCGTTAGCTGATGTTGTTCTGGGTAGCCACGAGTTCAACTTCTCGGCTGCGCTTGTAAATACCCAATTGGTCTGTCTCCCGGCAGTTGGGATTCTTAATCTAGTTATGTTTATTTGAATATTTATTTATCACTGTTTGTTTACATTGGTCCTGAAAAGCCCCAATGGGGAGTGGCCAATTAAGTAATTTATTTAATTAAGTAATTTACGTTGCAGAAAACCGGGGTTCTAGGAACCCCAATCTGCTGGAAGGAGATATGATCCTTTCAAATCAGCAGATAAGGAGAGCTGAAAAAGAAGAAGATGTCGATAGATCCCGTAAAAGAGCAGCAATGAAATCCAAGCTTTGGCCGAATGGAGTTGTTCCTTATATGATCGATTCAAGTCTTAGTAAGTACTTAAATTAAGCTTAGTACCTTCGTCTCAAACAAATGCTAAATTAGACTGAATAAGTTAAGTGCAAAATATTGAAAAAGATCAAAAAAAGAGATTCAAATTTTCTTGTTTTAGTGAGAGACAGATAACGTTCCTAAGGTCTTATGAAGCCCATGGCCTGACGAGCACTGTTGTTGTTGTTGTTGTTGATGATGATGATAGTGATGATGATGTGATGACGATGACGAAAGACAAACATGTGTCATGCGTGATGATGAATGACCATAACACACTTGTTCAAAAAAATGAATTTATTTCTTGAATTTATTTCTTGTTCTTTAGGTCGAAACTCCAGAGCTGTGTCCGCCATCAGAGCTGGAATACAGGAATGGAGCTCAAAAACATGCATCCGTTTTAAAAAGAAAGCAAGAGAATCGGCTTACATCAGGTTCAAATCTGGCTCCGGGTAAGTAAGGGGAGATCAACAGAATCTTTGGCGCAATAATGAATAAATTAAACACGCAAACACAGGACCCGAAAAGTCTAAATTACCACAAAAAGAATTCCAGTGAAAAAGACAACAGTCAAAACTAAAGTTTTCATCATGCATTGAATTTATGTTTCATTTTCGCGTAGAATTAAAAACTGAAAAACTGACGTAGAAAAAACTGGCGTCCGCTTAGTAGAGGTGCCCAGTTACGTGAGGTATAAACTGTTGCGTTTGTATGTTTGTGGCGAGGACCATTACTTCATGTAAGTGGTCGCTCGGCAAAGGTTAAACATTTAGTGCTGTAAATGCATGGGACAGTGACTGAGTGTCTTGAATCATGACTTAGTGTCTTACTGTTGTGTCCGCCTACAATTAGTGTCCGTTTACGTAAGTGTTTTATACCACGCCTCACTTATTCTTGAATATTTCGTGTCGTCTTTGATCAAGAGATTACTAAGTGGCCATGTCAACCCCGTTTCTTCCCATAATCCCCCCCCCCTACAATCTGCTTCTACCATGAAATACTTAATCTACATGCTCAAATCATTGACTGTATAGTTTACATGACCGCTTATCTTTTAGATGTGCGTCATATGTTGGAAGAACAGGTAGACAACAAGATATTTTTCTCGCCTCAGGATGCTGGTACAAGGGAGTTGTTGCTCATGAAATTGGTAAACTTTCATTGTTTATATATTCTGTCCAACTGTAAAAGTAAACACAAACAATTAACAATGAGGGTAGGTAAAGGAGTCAATTTGGCAGCATCTTGCATTGATTAAGTCGTTAAAAAGGTAGTAGTTTTTATGGAGTAATTTGAGGTTTTTTTTTTTTCTTTTCTTTTTTTTGTGTTAATCTAGAGTTTTGGATTGTCAATATATTGTACATATGTTATATAGTCTAACATTTTATGCATGGGGTTTTCCCCAAGTATGGCGTTGCGGTGGTACTTTTGGCCACCTCCAACTCCTGGTTTTGAAATTTTTTACTCACACTTTCTTCAAGTAAGCATGGAGTAGATGTAACTGATAAAAAGGTTATCATCGCCATTCAAAAAGCATTAACCGTCAACAGAAAACCAAACATCGTACTATGGCGTAATGGTATTTATGTCGATACGTTGACCTGTATTTAATGGCCTTAGAAGTGCCAGTTCACGAGTTGATCAGTTGTTGCAAATCATATGATTTTCAGCAAACCCCACAGAGAGCTCCCGAATTTCGTTGCTCAATTAGTATTACGATCTTCGTAGCACTAAGTGAGTTATATTTTACTTTTTTTCAGGGCATGCTATCGGTTTCTTCCACGAGCAATCTCGCCCTGATAGAGACTCTTTCATCACTGTATTCTACGGAAATATCCGTCCGGGTAAGTATTGACGACTTAAGCTTCGATTTTCTATTTTTCTAAGAGTTATAAATAATTAGTCGTCACGGATCTTTCATCCATTGGTGATTCCACAACAGCGATTCCTATGATCTCTATATTCCTATATCATTAAAAAGAAACCGGCTCACTTAGATTTCATTATCAAGATCATCTTGAATTACATACAAAGTTCAAATGTCATTTTAACTTTAAGGTTAAAAGTACTTCACTCAGCCACGTTTCTACAGAACTCGACAGCGAGAGCAGATGAAAAAAACTGAAAACGATAATATATTTTTTGTGAAGATTGCTTATCTGACTTTACTTTTATTTTCCTGAAACGCAATTGGAAATTGAGTTTCATGCTTGCAGTGTACTAACACAACTTCTTTCAGGGGCGGAGCGAAATTTTCACAAGTACCCCAGATCAACGATTGACTCTCTTGGCACTAGATATGATTACGGAAGCTTGATGCACTATAGGAGCACGGCGTTCAGCAAAAACGGACGACCAACTATAGTTCCCAAGAGATCAGGGGTATGCTTCGATGGTAACCTGAAACTGTCTAGTGAACACCTAACCTTACAATGATTAAATAAAAAAGCAATATAATTTTAATTTGTTTTTCTCAGCAAACCGTCAAATTACGATAGAACAGCAAATTAATTTTTAGTAGCAGATGAAGTTTTGAATTTAAACATGGGCCGGGTTGTTCGAAAGCCGGTTTACGCTAACCCAGGATTAAAAGTTAACTGAAGTATTAATTTTGTGGTAGCTAATTAGAATGCTTTATCTGTTAAGGTTACTATTGGTCAGCGTCTAGGGTTAAGTTCCATTGATGCACAGCAGGCGAACCTGCTTTACAAGGCCCAGTGCGCTCTACGGCCAGGAGGTTTTGTAGGAGGCGGAGGAGGTAACGAAAGTTTTTATGCTAACAATTTCATTATTAAGACGTTCTTTATATATGTTTAATAATGTAATTTATCAACACTTCCGCCTGACCGATTCGGCGTTCACGAGCTCCAGCCTAAGATATGATATGTTGCTCCTGCAGTCGTGATTGCTTCACCGTAATACGCATATTGGTAACTGTTATACGTCAGGTGTCTCTCCGACTATATAAGGAGCTTAAGCAAACCACCGCGACGACGGCAACGAGAACGTCACCAAACAAAAGATTTAACGAGCAAAACAATGGCTGCGCACGTGCGTTATAGATCTTTGTACGTTTGTTTGCCGTCCCCTACAAAACATCAATGCGAAATGATCAAGTTCTGCGTAGTCTGAGGAACGGGAACGACGACGGCTAAGTTTTTGTATTTCCATTAGGAATTGAACGCCGTCGTTGCATATTTAGCTTGAGCACATTTTTAGACCCGTTGGAGCGCTGACAATTGCGAATTTCATTTGTAAAATGTAAATGCATTTTTTACCAGGCGTCGTCTTCGGTGTCGACGTCATCATTGCTTAAGCTCCGTTATCTCCCCGTAAAATGCTTAGGGCAAAGAAAAACAGGTTGCAAGACGCAATACAAAGAACATTTATCTTACATATCAAAAGACTGATATTCTAATGTTGCATAATCAATATGAACAGACATTAATGGGCTTTCATTTCGTACATTTATTGCGCAATTAATGTTTGTTGTGACTCAGTGAAGTAGGAAGCCATTATGCCTCATTCACTGAAATCCCACCAGAATGTAATCGATAACAAGTCAGGTCAAAAAACAGCAAAGTCTGATGAACAGTCTTGCTTGTCTGCTTGTTTTTTTGGTAGCGCAATTCTTTCATTGTAAGTTCATTCGAAAAGCCACAAACTTCAGTTTGAATTGTTATTTTTTAGTGACTTGCAAGGACAAGACACGCAGTTGTAGATATTGGTCTTGGAGACGTCGCTGCAGATGGAGTAAATACGTCAAAGCAAACTGTAGGAAAACCTGCAAACTATGTTAAGAGTTTCAAGCGACTCGGAAGTCGACCAGTAAACAGTGCCAATTTCGTACTAGCGAGTTCATTCAGGTCTCTCAATGGATTAACAACAGCACCTGTTTTGTAAAGGTTCATTATTAGTTTGTACAATTAGCATTAAATAAATCGATTGCTTGTCAGCATGTCGGCTATTTTACGGTTTGTATTTAGCTCCCGTCATATTAAAACAGTTGCATGGCAACGAGTGCGTGTGAATTGTGCCAGTCCCTGCTCGGGAATTGTGTCTTTGTACAGAACCAACAGATTAGCAACACTGATTAGCAAAATATTAGTAGCTTTGCGCTCTACGGTGTACTCTCTTAGAGAAACTGATATATTTTCACTGTGTAAACCTGCTTCCAACTCTTATGGTCTTCAATCGTTCATGTATTTTGCTTGCAAAACTTAGAATTCTTCACCTGAGAACATTAGAACGGAACTTACTTTAACTGGTTTTAAGCGCCTCTTGAAAACAGTCTCCTTACAGGCATGATTACTGATTTCCACACAAGTTGTTTATTTTAAATTGATTTCTTTTATATAAAGATATATACACATATAATGTACTCAAACATTATTGTCAGTAGCAGTACTTTTTGTTTTTCTCTTTGCAATGTTTATTAACACCGCAGATGTTAGCTTTTTAGCTACCCTGTAAATGCCAGTCAAAATAAAGTTATATATTTAACTATGTATGTAACACAAACACTTCACCATCACTACGAGCAATACCACGCTTTTGTAGTTACGAATATAACCACGCCAATATTAAACGCTTCTCTATACCGATTCTGTTTTATGCTCTTGATTCTAGAGAGGTAGCACCGTGACGATGAGGATCCTTACCATTATTATCGATTTAAGTACTTAAAATATATTTCAATATTTAGAGAGGAAGTCAAATCAACATTTAAATATCTTCAGCCGATTAAACCACTAAAAATAGGCGATTTTCATGGTGGCGTCTTTTGACATCAACTAGCAAAATGTATTTCACTCGTTCTTTTTCTCGTGCTCATATAGACAACTGTTGCCTAAAACCCTCTGTGGTTTAAACGTTCAAACAATAAAGGAGAAACGTAATGAATTCTGGTAGTTGTGGTCAGATGGGAGAAAAATATACGGGTAATGGATTTAAAGATTTGGAACATTTGAGAGCGAATATGATATCAGTAATTAGTATAATTTCCAGAGGTGAATATAAGAATGGGACAATCTGATTGGTCGAAAGCTCATCATATGACGCTATATTCACCCCGCTAGAGCTTAGTTACTAAGTTCGCCCTCTTTGCCATCTCGGCAAGTAAACATGGCGGGCAGTTGCTGAATGAAGTTTTCATTTATTCGAAAGACATCACGCCAAGTCGAGGATATTTGAAAGGATGGAGAATTTTCAAAATGACTGCTGTCGCCCTTGGACCAAAAATCTTTTCAAGAACTCGCATTCAAGGCTTTTAACAATCGTAAACGCAGTGGTTGCGTTGATCACCAGCAGGTCAGATCGATTGACCGAAATTTATTTTTCTTCAAAATAAAGCTACTCACTTTTAGGCGATGATGACAACTGTGAATGAAGTCAACAACGAACAAAGCTACCGGATGAATTTATTTTTCGTAGTGTTTCGCTCGTTTGTTTTACTGCCGAACTCGGTGAGTAAATTGATTGACAATCGATTTACATGTAAAGTTTATTATTAAAACTACGGCATACTTGCACAAGACCAATTGCGTCTGTGTTTTTATTTTTTAGTCCGTTATTTTTTAGTCCTTGATATTCACCTCTGAAAATTATACTAAAACAATTATTCGCCTCAGGCTCGGTGAACTTGGTGAATATTCACCTCGACTTTCAGTTTGTCTCGGTGAATATTCACCAATGTTCACTTCGCCTTTGGCGAATAATTGTTAAATATCGAGCGTTGTGAAAGATATCGATTTATTTCAATTTTTTCCGATTATTTTGTGCTAATTCTTGGGTTTGTGTTGTATGGGGGGTTTGTACAATTTTATATAAAAAAACAACACTCCAAATCCCAATTCGACCAGGATCGGGGACCCGCATGAAAACCAGCCGTAAGGCTTGCTCTCTTAATATTGTAATTTGTTTATAAAGAGGCGATGGCGATAGTTGTTTTTCAAGCAAAGGTTGCAGATCTCATCCACTTAAGATTTTTTTTGGGACACAGAGCTATTGTTGGAACCAGTTCAAATTGTGGTCGGATTACAAAATGAGACTTCCAAAACCTCCTAACGAGCCAGCTATAATCTGCATCTTTCAACCTGATTTATTCTCGTTCTTTTAATAACGGATTAATTAAAATGGGACTGCCTTGTTAACAAAGATGAACACATCCCATATTTTAGGAGCTGTACAGTATTTGAAGATTTCAATCACCAGCAAGAGTCGCTTAAAAAAACTGACGTTGATTTGTTAAGTATATAAATCTTCGTTCACACAAGAACATAGCACAGATCTCAAGTCACAATAAGACATAAACGTTTTTGACAAAACACGCACGGAATAGTTTGGCTTTCAATATCAGTGATAGACGGTCTTCCACATGAACAATATCTGACAAGCACAGAATGGAATACGTACGAAATGTATGTTTTTGAAACTGTGCGTCATAATTTTCGAAAAAATCAAAATTTGTGTTTGTTTTCCGTCCGATTTCTTTTAAATCTTTTCTCGTCGACAAACTTATATGGCGAAAAATGTTTAGTGGCACAAATGAGCGCGCTCAGATTCGCTAACGTCAAACGTCAAACTAAAATGTCGACGTTTGCCAGGTGGCAATGGCGGTCCCTAGGTGTGTGTATCAGGTAAATACTTAATTTATTAAGCCTTGAGCAGAAAAAAAAAACCCCGCGATTGATGATTATTCAAAAGATTGATGTAGATAATCACTGGGAATATTAATATATTTAAAGTGGTTGAAGCGGTTAATCTGCTCAGGCTGCACCCGAAATCTTCTGTATCACACGTGTTTTAGAGTTTCAGGTGATTAGATCAACAGCACGGCCGTATTAGGAATGACGAGTCCAAAGGCATATGCGTAGGAGGCTACGGCACAGATTCATTACGTCATATATCGTCAAGTCTCTTTTAGGGGCTTCCAACAACATATTGGCAACGCCGAGGATACTGCTTCAGTCAAATAAACATGAATATTTTATCAGGCAATTTCGCTATCATCGAGATCCATTCAGTTGGTACATAGACTCCACATCTATTCACTAGTTATATTCATGCATGTTACGTCCATGTTCGATTTCAATCTAGTAGAAACATGGCCAGTTGTTGCTGTATTTCATTTTCTCACGTGACATATAATTCGGTCAATTATATTGAAGAGGGCGGCAAAGAAGTGTACCAAGAATATACCTTTTAAGGCCCGTCCACACGTATCCGGATATTTTTGAATCAACAACTTTCTCTTCCCGGATTCAAAAATTTCGCCGTCTACACGTAGCAAAAATATTCGGATTCGCTGCCGAATTCGCCGGATGCGTGTGGACGGAAGCTGTATCCCGAAAGAGAAAGTTGCGGATCCAAAAATGTCCGGATACGTGTGGACTGGGCCTAAAACTCATGACATCGCGTTTAAACAAAGCCGAAAATCATGACCGTGACGATGGCTTGATATCTCATCTCAATTAGCTTAGGTTTTTACAATTATATTTCTCCATATAAACCTTATATGTTTCCTTATTTTTAGTTTCGATTGAGAAGATATATCAAACACTCGAGACATTGTTTCACTACATTTCCAAACACCTCGAGGCTCGTCAAAAATACTCCGGTACGCTTCGTCTTATCAACTCTCTTCTCGGCGCTTGGAAATGTCGTCAAACACGGTCTTTCGAGTTTGATATATTACATACAGCGCTGCACTTACCTTAATCTGAAATATTGTGAATGAGGACTGTTAAAGAAGCTTTTATTTATTTCCCACGTTTATTCTTTGTGATTGGCTGTAAACAATCTTTTAAATCACCGACTTGACCCAATAAAATTCGAGACTCGTCGTTCACATTCATCAGTTGATAGCTGCGTCCCACAGTGACACAAAGTATTCAGAGTAGTGGAAGGAAAATGAAGTGGCTTGGCTTACTCCTCTTCGTTACAGCAGTGTTTGGAGCATCAGAAAATCCTGACGGTAAGTCTCAAATTCTTTTCAAATTTAACAATTAAATACTAGCTTAATTAATTTTCAGGACAGAATGCTCAGTTTGCTTTGAGTGGGTTTTTGTTTAGATTTTTTTTTTCAGTTAAGCTGAATAGGGTAAACAATACAGTTAAAGATTTATCACTTAACTGGTTTTTTTTAACAAACAAATAATAATCTTGAACGTTGTAAGTCTCAGAATATAGTCAATTTGATCAAAACAAACAGAAGATACAGGAATATAAGATAACTGCAACCGCTTTAATGTTCTTTTTTTCGAAAAACTATAATAAAATTATGTGTATTGGCAAAGGTCGTTCTTAGGTGTAAATTGATTTTTAAGCATTTGATGACAAGAAAACGGCTGCGAACTTCACTAATATCCGGAATCGAAATGAAAATATTTCAACTTAAACTGAAAACAAAAAGAGGAATCTATTGCTTTGTTTCACGCAGCATGTAAATACAAGAACGTGACTTGATTTTGCATGTTGTCTTAAAAGAACTGGGATACTTTTTCCTCTTACATCGCCCTTGTAAGTTGCACCTTTTGCCATTAACGCTAATAAAACAGTCAGAAAACACAAGTCAAATCGAAAATAAAGCTTGTTATGTGGCCAAGTAATTAATTTACCTGCGACTGAAAACTCCCGATATTTTTGGGAAACAACTACAGGATAGTGGCGTGAGAAGCATCGCACCCTCGTGGTAAGTAGGCGCGACTCCGGATCAAAATTTCGTAAATGTCTTGTTTTTCACTTTTTCAGCTTGGCGCTAATTCTCATAAGATAAGAAACATAAATTGGGACGGACACTATCTGATGGGGGACCTCTATTTCCAGCTCTGACGCATGTTTGAAGGGCCAAAAAATACTGGTAGTGGTTTAAACCTTTCATTGTAGTGCCCTTTTAACATGAAACAATTAAAAATATTGAACCACACGCAAAAGTTGTGTTCGCCGTGTAGCCGCTTCCCATCCGGCGAGGAGCCGGATGAGTGGCGGCTATGAAAAAAGCGGTGTCAGAGACGTTTGCTGGTAAAGCAAATGTCAGTCGTCCCACCAAGAGTAGTATCGAGCTTTCTACCACCCTATATGGAAGTTTCGGTTGACAGAATATCATTCTCCAGACCGCAATCTGACATATTGAGAGATGTCGAGAAATGCATAAAACCCTCATGATGAAAACACAAGCTAGAATTATCTCAGTTCCTTAAACTGAGGTTAAATTTCCCTGACTTCTCGTCAAATTAAGCAAAAAAAAAAACAAATAAATAAATAAATAAATAAATAAATAAAAATAAAATAAAATAAAATAAAAAATAGCTCAGTGTACATGTAGATGAAAATATATGCCCTGATAAAATTGCATCGGTTGTGGTTTCATTAATGACGTCAGTACTGATAGCACGCGAGGGCAATATACAAATTTCGCGAACCTTTTGATGTGTTTAATGTTTTTAATGAAAGAATACTGTTGGTTAAACACATCAATAGAGGCTGAACAGCTTACAAGAGAATATCTGGATTGATGTCACTATAATCTTAAAGGCCATCTGATATTCAAAGAGAAAAAGTTCTATTCTAGAAAAATAAATTCTTATTTCATCGATAACTCTCGCAAATATATTTCTTAATCATTCTATTGTGTGTCATTATCGGTTTCAAAACTATCTCAGAGTGAAGATGAAAAGAGAGCGTTCAATTCCAAACTGAAATACAAAACTTTAGCCGTCATGCTTCACTTTCTAGAAAATACGCTGCATTTGGTCATTTGACCAGGACGTAAAACGCACATGCGGAGCCATGATGCTGTACATTAACTCCTTGTTTTACGATGTTATCGCTGCTGTTAACACGGTGGTTTGCTTCCTGGCCTGTTACTGTGACTTTAAATAAGGGGTTTAGAAAGGGAACTCTCCTTTCCTTTAGAAGAAAAGTCAGTCAGTCTGTCCGTCTGTCCGTCAGTCAGTCAGTCAGTCAGTCAGTTAGTCTGTCATTCAGTCCGTCAATCCGTCAGTCAGTCAGTCAGTCAATCAAACGTAAGCCATAGTGGATGCATTTTAGAAAATTTAGCTAGAGGGAACCGGGACTAGAACGAACGTGGGACAGCTTTAATTTGTTGCAATTCGAGCCGGAAATCGGACAAAACGAGCAGAAAGCCTCGACCGCGCTGATTAAAAAAGGGAAACCATGTGTTAGCTCTTCAGCCACACCAGCAGCTGTTAGAGAAAGCTAGTCTACCAACATTGTGCAATAGGAGACTACAAGACATATGTATTTTAATGTATAAGGTTAAACATAATTTGTGCCCGCGGACTATTTGTAACATGTTTTATACTAATTGCCATACTTATGGTTTATGGCAGGGAGATTTTCATTTACCTAGATTTAACGCTCTTACGTATGGAAAATATTCAATTCGATATCTAGGCCCACGACTATGGAGCAAACTAACAAATAAAGAGAGATCGGCGATAAACCTCAAGCGGTTTAAGACCCACGTACGGAGACTAGATCTAGACAACATCCTAGGTGGATGTATTGACCGCCATCTCATAATTTTAATTTCTCTTATAGGACTTTTCTGTATATTATTTTTAGATAGTTTTAGTTAGGTGTCCCCTATTAGCGGTGGGGATTCTCATTGTTATTATTATTATTATTATTATTATTAGTATTGTTATTATTATTATTATCATTATTATTATTATTACTATCATTATTATTATTATTATCCACTAATCGTATGAATTCATGTTACCTTGCAGAGAATGAGGGCGTCCATGACCCAGATCTGTTTGAGGGAGACATGATTCTTTCAAGCGAGCAGATTAGGAGGGCTAAGAATGGAAAAGATGTTGATATTTCCCGAAAAAGAGGCGCATCCAGATTCAGAATGTGGCCCGATGGAGTCGTTCCTTATGTCATCGATCAAAGTCTCAGTGAGTTCTCGTTCTCAGTGACTACATATCACTGCTTAAAATTAACTCTACTACTAAAATTAACTCTGCTACTACAATACTACGGTTAAAAATAGGTAAAACAAATTTGTTTTACATGGTTAATACGTAATGGTTTCATATATAACAAAACTCCTAATGCCCAATGAGTAATTTATTCTGTGTTATTCAGTTTGTTTTTTTTTTGTCACAGCCTTAAAATAAAATATTCGTCAACATCAGCTAAAATGTCTTATTTATGGCTGCGTCTTTGGAGTTTTGATGGGAGGTTGGGTGTTTTAGCTGCCCGATAATTATTTTTCGAATTCTAGCTAGTTAAACCTGAATCATTTACGCCCCGGAGCGATTTCACTCAGGATCGTCAAGAGAGCATGAAGGGTAGGAGAATTACTCCCTTATATAGGCCTAATTCCTAAGGTAACTCTCCGGCTAGGTTATTTTTAGACATGGTGCCCAGTTCTTCCCCAAACAACACCACGCGCGTTTCTTGGATCTGGATGTTTGCGTGGAAGACGAAAATGGGTGTAAAGACGCTAGAGCTGCATGTTCCTGTGAGCAAAATTCTAGTCACAGGATTGGAAGACTTTGTGGGGATTTACGAAACCGGGAGGGATCTGAAAATAACTTGAGAGGGATCGGATTATATTGGGGGATTAAGGCTCATATGGGGGATTAAATCCCCCACTCTATATCCTCTGCTTGCATTATTAAGTACAGCGTAATAATCGAGAGTGAATTAATTGTATGTAAAACTAAAATTAAGTGGTCTATACTAATTTAGGGGTCGATTCCCGAGCTGTGGACGCTGCTAATGCAGGAATGGAAGAATGGATAATGAAAACATGTATCCGCTTTCGAGAAAGAACAACTGAGCGAGATTTTGTCAACTTTACATCTGGCGGCAACGTACGGGGGTGAGTATGATGGAACTACTTCAGTATAAAAATGTTTGTTTAAGGATGTTCGCGCGAAAATTTTCCAACATTGATTTTTTTCTGAGACTTTCACCACTGTAAGATGATGAGTCAGTTATGCCAGAAATGCAAAAAGCAAAAAAANTTTTGGAGAGAACATGCCCGGAAGAACACCCTAAATCTGAAAAAAATCGGGCTTCGTTAGCGAATAAGGCCACAGTGTCTGTAAGCCCAAAAATTCGATGTCCCGTGGACAGAAATCTTGATTTTTTTTAACTTCCCGCACTGAGTTTTTGTTCATATTTGGACAATGTGGAGATAACTGCAAATAAAATCTGTTTCTGGAGAGAAAAACGGGGGTCACCGAACCTCCAAGATCGTTAAATCCAGGCAATGTTTAACCATGTCATGATCATTTACCTCGTATTTATTTTATAATTTTTTTCCATTTGCCCTGAAAAATCCCATCGAGGGAGTGGTAAATTAATATTTAAATTTTTGTCTCATTTTTTTTAAACTTGTTTTCAGATGCTCATCATATATTGGAAGAATCGGAAGCGGTCAAGACATAAATCTTGGTCGAGGATGCTGGACCAGGGGAATTGTTGCTCATGAAATTGGTGAATGACAACCCTAAACATTGGGTTTCTTGGTGTATAATCACTATAAACACTATCTTGAGTGCTTGATATATCTTCTCAAACGAATCTAAAACTAAGGAGAAAACGGAGAAATAAAATCATAAAAATCTATGCTAATTAAGATGATATATCCAAACACTGTCACGCTCATGATTGCCTTTGTTTAAGCTTGATGAATTATTAATGAGTTTGAGAAATAAATATGCGATACTTTTCAACTGACACAGCTTAATCGATTCTCTCTGGCCAGGGCATGCAATTGGGTTCTACCACGAACAGTCTCGTCCCGACAGAGATGATCACATCACAATACAGCCCGAAAATATCATCCAGGGTAAGCTTTGGCGTCTGTCAATTCAACAGGCCATTTTACAGTTCTGTATTTCTTTTTTCTAAACACCAAAGTCAAGATCCATAATGTCCCAATTTATGTACGTAGGTTTCGAGTCCAACTTTTTAAAGTATAGCCATTCGAGGATTGATTCCCTCGGAACCTCATACGACTACGGAAGTTTGATGCATTATGGAAGCAGAGCATTCTCCAGGAATGGACTACCAACCATTGTGGTTAAGACTCCAGGGGTATGTAATTGTATTAACGAGTAATTGCATACACTTACTCCCTTACTACCCTATAGCTAGACATGAAGAGTGACTACTGCCGTGTGAGCTCCACCCTCAACAATAGACCAATTTCGATGTATTAAAATTGAGCCTACCACAATAGACCTGAGCACGAGGCTCTGGGGAATAAACCCCACAAACTCTGTAGATATTCCCCAGAGCCTCGCACTGCGGTCTATTGGTCTCTTCTCAGACCATCCCCTGTCAAAACTAAACACAAAATCAGTAAATAAATTTAAAGGTTAATAAAGATACCATCATGCTATATGTGATTTATAAAGTTTACTGGCTGTGTAAAGATGCAGGATAAACATTGTAAATTAATAATGAAATATTGACGAAACAGTCGGAAAAAGTCTACTGGGGCTTTTAATAAATTAATGACATAATTAACGATGCCTAGCTACAAACCAATTATTTGTTTTTTATTGATAGCATCTTACTAAAAGCAAATGACACGTTATCGAACGATAACCATAAACTTTATTTTACGCTTTAACCGTGGGCTTTAAGGTGGCTGAACACAGTTTTTGATACCTATGTTTCATTCACCTTTTTCTCTAAAACCTTTGATCCCTCGGTCGCCAAAAATGGCAGCAAGCAAGTTAACAACACAAACTTTGGTTTTTTGATGGTTAAGCTGGCGTGTGTGCCGTTGCCATGGTAACACGAATAAAAATAAACAGGCCTTTAAAATCGGTTTTGTTTATTTGTAGAAAATCTAGTCATTAGACTTTCTTTATAATTTGCACACACCAAGCTTGTAACGATTCTCACAAGTTAAGACCATTTTGCGAATAATTTAACAGAGAGATCTTTAATTATCCCTTGTTGAAGGTTTACTGGAATATCTAGAGTTTCCTTTGTTAAAGTTCAATTATTTTCAATACTCCA